GTTTCTTTGACCTTTCCAGTAATCCAAAAATAAGAAATGTATATTGTATGAAAGTGTCTTTACATGGCAACCACATTGTAATTTTTACAGAATTCTTTCTAGTACATGGTTTTTCACCTTTCCGGGCACCTTTCTTTTTTAAGAAAATTTCAAAAAGATTGAAACTTCTGGGTGCATGTTGTGCTCTTCTAGGCAGGCTTGTGCAAGGGAAACATGTGCTGACATTTGGTCACTCTACTTCTTAGGACCGTTTTTGCACATGTTGTTTTTCCCAGTGAGGTGTAGTCACCCAGCACGTATCTGCTCTCACTTGCCCTGGTACTCTATCATAATGGTTCTTGTCCACCATTCTTTTGTTACAGGTAGAGATTTTACCATGCTTTCTACATCACTGCTCTTTGTATTCACTGATTGTGTCAGTAGATTGTGTGTTGACATGCAGGTATAGATACCAGCAGACAGTTGTCGGTGCTACTACCTATGGTAGATAGTAGAGATTTCCTCACTTCAGGTTCATTTGGCAGTTTTACAGACTAATGAGTCATAACTGGTAACTATCTTTAAGAAGGAACTCCAGAATTTCTTAGAAGAGAATGGAAAATATTAAATTATGAAATGGGGACTAGCTGGAAGGCACTCAACAGAAGGATCCTCCCTTCTGCTATTTCCTCCACCAGCTGTCAATCCCACAGGGTTAAAGAAAGGAAACAATTTCCCCTTCAAAATCTTCATCCTTGGGATCCCTACTCTTCTTTAATTCATTTTGTGAATGAAGCAGTGATTCTTTTCAAAATTTAATTTTTAAAAAAGATTTTATTTATTTTTAGAGAGAGGAAGGGAAGGAGAAAGAAGTTGAGAAATATTGATCAGTTGCCTCTCACACAGGCCTGCAACCCAGGCATGTGCCCTGACTAGAATCGAATGCGTGACCTGCCTTGCAGGATGACATCCAACCAACTGAGCCACACCAGTCAGGGCAAAAGTTAATTTTAAAAACTTACCCAATGCATGTCCATTATAAAAATTTTCATACTTCATAATTATATACACTAAATATGAAAGTCCCTCTATCTGCCTTCTAGCTATCACTACAGAGATGGTCACTGCTAAAATTTTGGTATATAACTCCACCTGGTCTAATAGACCTAGGAACAAACAGTATCAGTTTAAACAGGGAGTAGGCTTTTCATCACAGTAAGATTTCACTCAATCCCTAAGACTATTGGAATCAGCCTATTCTACTCCATCATGAATTATCTGTGAGAGATATGTCTTAAACTTGGACACTGTGGGAGGAGGAAGAGAACATGAATACCTACCTTGGGCCAGACACTGTAAACAATTTTTTTAATAATTAAAGTCATACTTTAGACACAGCATGAATGTATTCTACCATGAAAGAAAAGGAGCTGGAAGAGGTTGCTCACGGTCACACAGTAAACAGAAGGGCCAAGGTGGATGAGATATGTAATAAGGTAATGCCCATTAATCATTAGGGAAAGAAAGACTGATTTTTTAAAAAAGACTTCAGGAACAAATGTCCTAAAGCAATTCAGAAGCCAGTCAACTTAGTTTGTGGTCAGGAAACATGCAAAATATAGCTGAGGGAAGTTTTAGAAACACATTGTGGCAAATACTTATTTTTTAATGTTATTTTTAAAATTTATTTATTTTTAGAGAGACAGGAAGGGATGGAGAAAGAAGGAGAGAAGTGCCTCTCCCATGTCCCCAGCGGGCACCTGGCCCACAACTCAGGCATGTGCCCTGACCAGGAATCGAACTGGTGATGTTTTGGTTTGTGGGACAGCGCTTACCCAACTGAGCCACACCAGTCAGGACATGGCAAATACTCTGAGATTTTAAATTTTAAAAAATCTCTTTTAGACCCCACTGCTCATTGTGCTTCTTAATTCAGCATGTTTTTTTTCTAACCTTTCCAGTTCATATGAAGGTCTATCTCAGTAAATCCCAAGAGAAGTGGCATCCTCCACTTTATAGGTTCTACTTCCAAAACTCAAGTTGTTGAAACAACTTTTTACAGTTAGCTGACCTGCTTATTCGGGTAAGTTTCCCCAGGCTTTGCTCACAGAAGTCACCATTTATCCTCAGGATTTTGAGAACTCCATATCTTACTTGGTTTCCCTGAGTTGACTTCCAGTCTCTTCTTATATCTTCCTTTCATTAAAAATGTATTCTATAATATCAGCAATGATGCTTCCTCTCTCAGATGTTTGAAGAATGGAATGGAGTGGGGCATAATCTCATCTTGTTTACTCAGGTTCCTACCAACTAAACCTCAAAAAGACCCCTGATCTTTTTTAAAGTTTTTATATACCTACCAGATTCTAAGCCCCCAAAATTATGTGCATGTGTGCATCAGAACGACCAGGAGGAGCTTTGCTAAACATCAATTCTTGGACCTCGCTAATGAAAAACTCCGTCAATAGGGTTTCTTAGTGGTTGTAATCCCTGTGGCCAATTTTAAGCGTAAACTTAAAATATGGTTTCTCGGTTGCATTAGTTACATCTCAAATGCTCAATAGTCATATATGGCTAGTGACTACTGTGTTGGATAGCACAGATACAGAATATTTCCATCACTGCAAATTCTATTGGACAGCACTAATCTACAATATATAGATGGCAATTGAAACTATGATGGTGGAAGTGATTTCCTGGAGGTGTAAAACAAAAGGAGATGGGGTTCCAAGAACAGAATTTTAGAATTTTACCATTAAGAGACAAGTAGACTCAACAAAGTAGATTAAGACAGAATGGCCAGATTCTTTGAAAGGAGAATCTTTTTTAAAATTGACTTTTAGAGAGGAAGGGGAAGAGAGAGAGGAACATCAGTTTTTTTGTTCCACATACATTCATGGTTGATTCTTGTATGTGCCCTGACCCGGGATCAAACCTGCAACCTTGCAATATTAGGATGATATTCTAAAGCTCTAACCAATTGAGCTTCTGGGCCAGAGTTGGGAGTGACATAATCTTAATGGCTTTAGTACTAAACACATTAGCTACAGGTTGAGAATAGAATGGAGACTGGGACAAGAGTGGAGGCAGCACCCTGTTTTTTCTCTTCTTTTTTTTAACATTCAAATATTGGACTTTATTTAATGCTTTTTCTAAATCTATTGAAATAATCCATGTGGGTTTTCTCCTTTAATTTACTTAATTAGAAAGTTACATTAAAATACATATTCATGGTAACCATCTGAGCATACATGAATAAACCACAACGGTATACACACACATACAAGAAGGAATGGCCAGAGAAATAGAGAATAAGAGAGTGGTATCCTAGAAGTCAAGAGAAGAAAGTTTTAAGAAACAGGGTGCTGGTGATCATTGTACAATTTTATTTTAATGTAATTTTTTAAAAGATTTTATTTTGTTTTAGGGGGAAAGGTGGGAGAAAGAGAGAGAGAGAAAGATCAATGTGTTGTTGCCTTTTGAGTGCCCCCTACTGGGGACCTGACCAACGAGCCAGGCATGTGCCCTGACTGGGAATCAAACTGGTAACCCCCTGGTTTGAAAGCTGACACTCGATACACTGAGCCACACCAGCCAGGGCTCATTGTGCAGTTTTAAACATTAGGATTATGGTTGATAATGTAGAGAGATATTACTTGGAGAAGGATGGTTTCCCAGACAGGTCCCCAAAATGAGGCATTGGCCTTTGTAAATTCTTCATTGACTAAAGTCAGCCTCCCAGAAATTTAAACCTGCCCCCATGCAAGTGTCATTTTTTTTTTCAGGAAAAAATTCTTTTTACCCAAGGCCACATAAACTAGTTTTTTAATATATGTGTGTCTATCGGATTTTAAACCAAGCTCACAAATACATTTATATAGGATGTATACCAGAATGACAATTTATTAATAAAAATAGAACTGTTAGATGCTTCAGTTAGCCTACACAATGCATTCTGTTTTCTCCCTGTAGTTCTGCATTAAAGGAAGGCACATTTTTAGTAGGTTACTTTGTGAATATGGAATGAGAACTAATATTTAGTTGATCTTACAGTCTCTCAGCTAACCCAGCTTAAAGTACTCTCAAGGGATATATATCCTTGTCGAAGAGTTGACCTCTTGAACCCTTGTAGTTTAAATACTTCCTTACCAAACCTCTTCCTTTCTCCAAAAGGAGTGCAGTATAACTGTTTTTTAAGCTTCAATCTTAGTACAATTCTTCCTGTTGGAGATTCTACCCAGGACAACCTGGTTGAGTGTTGATGGTTTCCAAATTCCCACAGAACTTCAGTCATTATCTGTTGCTTCCCACTAGTTTAACTCTTAGAAGGCAATCTTATTTCCAGGCTTCTGGGAACCACTTCACTGGAACCACCAGGTATTGCCAGTTGCTATTCAGATACCGAGTAGAGTGAGGATTAAAAGTAAAACCCAAGGATTTGGCAGTTAAAGTCGTGGGAGGAGTTTGGCGCCAGCCAAACAACTTTCAGTGAAGTTGTGGGAGAAGACAAATGAAGGAAAGTTGAATTCCTTAGTCAGATACTTACTGAATACCTAAGAAATGCTGGGGTTCTGGGGTGAAATACAAGCAAATATAGACAAGGTTCCTGCCCTGATGTGGCTTATCTGAGCAGAAAAGCAGACATTAATAAAGTGATAATTACTGCCTAATGATACAATATGTGTTGAACTATACAGAGATGAGATAGCATTTAGGAGGTGGATCTGACATGGTGTAGGGGCTCGGGAATGAGCTTTCCTTAAGCAGTGACGTAGGGCAGAGGATGTGAAAGACGAACAGGGTCGACTAGACGAAGCCGAGGGGAGCGACTTGTGTGGGGAAGCAGCACAGATTATCTGGGGAGCCCAGGACAAACTCTGCGTGGCTGCACAGCCCAGGGCGAGGATGAGGAGCGTGGGACTGGGAGAGTCAGAGGCGGGGAGAAGCGGCTCCACCTACTACAAACTACAACTCCCAGAAAGCATTCGGCAGACGGATGTGAAGTGAGGCCCAGCCGCGACCTTTGAAGGAAGAAAGGAAGTGCTTCTGCGTAGCTGAGCCGGACGGGCGGTGGAAGGTAGGCTAGGGTGCGGCGCGGAATGGGCGGCGGGCCGGCGGCGGGCGGTTTGGTCGAGCGTCGCGGCACTCTGTGTTGTCATAAGGTGGCAGCCATTTCCGCGGGCAGAAGCGGCCCTGGCGCTAGGTTGGGGAGGGGGGGCGGGAGGGCCTGAGGCGGCGCGGAGGCCGGGCAGCCTGGGCCACCTGGTAATTGCATCTTTTCCCGGCGTCTTGTCCGCAGAGGGAGCAGTATGTCCGCGGAAGTCCCCGAGGCAGCCTCCGCGGAGGAACAGAAGGTGAGTATGAGGGGGAGCGGCCTGGAAGGCCCAGCGCTGCGCCTGCGGGGTCCTGGTCCGGCTTGGCGGGCGGCCTGCTGTCGCCGCGGGCGGAGGGGCGCGCCGGGACTCGGGCGCGCTGGGAACCCAGCCGCACCGCGCCTGGTGCAGCGAGTGGGCAGGGCCCCTGCGCCTCTGCTTTGAAGGCCAAGCACTCTCAAATCGACTGTCCGCAATAACTCTGGTAATTAGCGCCAGTGTGCTGGAAGTTTGAACATGTGTCACTTTTTCCCTGGATAACATAAGGGCCCAGGACTCAGCCCTTGTGCGTGGAACCTAAATTTTCCCATGGCTTCCCTTGGATTAGGAAGTTGTATTTTGCCCTTGAAGAACTAACTTTCCTATTGTATTGTCTGCATGCTATTAATTTCCAAGGCATTATCGTGTTTGGGCGTGTTATGGTTGGAATTTCAGTTCCAGTCCCTGTTGATCGTGTATTCTTGGTCAGTTATTAAACTCTTTAGACTTCAGTCTCCTAGTTTGTAAAATGAATAAAAGTACTTGCTGCATGTGTTGGTTGTGAGGCTTAAATGACGTGGGTAATACACAATATTGAGTGCAGTATGTGTTCAAAAATGTGAACCAGTGATGTTTGCATATGGTAATCGATTAAAAATCGGAAGATTGGAATTAAATTTTTTTACAAACTTAGTTGATCAGGATTTTCGTGGAAACATAGGAATATTTTGTAAACTCACTTGTAATGTCTTTGTGTTGTAGGAAAATATGCCATGAATGTGTATAACTCTAATTACGAACATACAGACTTGACGTTTTCTCTAGGGTAGTGTTTGCCCCTTCCACCAAAATTATTTCTGCTGCCCTATCCTCTTGGGTGCTTCTGGCTGGCCCACAAACACCCGTGATAAATTGTTCCTAAATTGTTTATGGAGGGTTACCAACACTTTCTTTTAAAAATAAGTCTGCATTATCATAGATAGGATTTGTTCTAATGCTTGGACTTTGTAAGGGTTTCTGGTTAATGTTGCACCTAACCCTATTCCAGATGTTGTTAACTTTTCCTGAGTTGGATGTTTTGGTTGTAATATTACTTGTAAAATAACTGGAACAAAACAAGAAAACAGCTATAGCATAAAAAAATAATAGACCAAATTACTTTTTGGAAATATTCCAATGAAAACTATGATGAATATTTTTCATACTTGGTTAAAAAAAAGACTTTGTAGACAAAAATATATAAAGATTGAAATCTTTACAGTAATACTAAATATCTTTTCTTTGCAGTAAAATGTTTGTCATGGTATTCATTGTTGCCCCAAAACTAAAAACTAAACCCATGTCTAAGCTCTCTTGCCCTACATCAATCTCAGTGTTGACTTCTGATGTACAATAGTGCACTATGTAATTTTCTTTTCAGATTTGTTAGTATGTTGCCAGAGTGTAAAGTGTTGATTTCTACAGTGTAGATATTTTTACTTGGAAAGCCTATATTATATCTCAACAATATTAAGGATATCTTGAATGTTTTCTCTTTATGAGTGTCTACATTAAAATTTTATTTCAGGTCCTTTGGTTTTAAGGCTGCTGGTATTAAAACTGAGTAGTGTTAGTAGTGTAATGTCCTATCTTGAATTGAGCATTGGCTGTAGATGCTGAGTGTCAGTAACATGGATACCATTCCTAAACATGAGGAAAATGTGCAGAGTCACTTTTGTGTTCCTATGGGCCAAATCACCTGTTTCTTCTATTTGGAAGAATAGTTAGATGACCTAAAACATTGGATTATTGTCTGTGTACCCAACTGACCTTTCAGTTAAAGCCAAAGTATTCCGTCTAAAGTATCTTTATGGTTTTATGGTACTTTAGCCTCTGAAAAATTAAGGCAAGAGGTCAGCCCTGCAAGGAATAAGTGCTAGATTGCTATTTCTCTGCCTGAGGAGTATGTGTACCCTTTTTAAGACAAAAAAAAACAAAACCCCAAACTGTATAAAACACTATTTTTATTGTGATACAAATGAAATATGTTCAAGCATAAAAATAAGTATAAACTTGTTATCTTTTATACCATTCTAAAACTAAAGCAAATTAAATTTAAAAAAACAGTCTAAACTATTATTTCAGAGTTACATGGTATTTTGGTGGAAATTTCCAATATATTGAGAATATGGAAGCAACTGTTAAAATGCAGGAGCTGTTTGAGTATGGCAAGTTAACACTCCCCTAGACCATATGATGACCTAGTTCTCCTCATTACAAGTGAGCTGTGTGGTTGATTATTTAACTGTAGAGTCATAGATATGCCTTTAAGTTGTAATTCAACTCTATTCTTTTCTCATCCTGGGAAATAGGAGTAAGTACTACTGAGTCTCTGACCATAAATGAAAGCTCAGACAAGAAATTCATATAGTTCTACTTAGACATGAGATGGCAATTCAGATTCCCTAGGATGTATTTGTAGATAATCTTTTAGATAATCACTGAAGTGGAAACAAAAACATTTACAAAGTTTTAGCAGATGCCCTGGCTAGTGTGGCTTAGTTTGGTTGGGCGTTATCCCACAAAATGAAAAGGCATAGGTTCCATTCTTGGTCAGGGCACAGACTGGGTTGCTGGTTCAGTCCTGGTTGGGGCACAGGCACGTGTAAGAGGCAGTTGATACATGTTTCTCTTACCGATTATTTCTCCCTCTCTCTTTCTCCCTTCCCCTCTCTCTAAAAATAAAATTTTTTTAAAAACAAAGTTTTGACAGAGGCCTCATGGATCTGTAACGAATACCGCTAAGCTAAGCAAGCTCTTTGGTCATTGGAGGAGAGAAGCAGCTTGTGGAGACTTAAAATCATAATTGTATCTTCATTGTGAATATCTTGAGCTCAGGGACGCTCTTTTATTTGTCTTTTCTCCCGTGTCACCTAGCCTAGAATCTGGCATTGTTCAGAAAATGTTGCATGAATTTCTGTGGAACTTTTCAGTTGAAACTCTTGCCAAAGTACTGTTCTAATACAAATGGCAATGCTACCACTACAGCTAAAAGAGAGAGGGATAGACTATGGTAATATAAAAATCGTAGGTTAGACCCGCTTAAGCCTTAATGAAAAGGGGAAGAGGAATAAGTACAAAGTTCTGGTTATAAAATAAGTCACAGGGGTGTAATGTACAGCAGAGGGACTAGAGTAATATCATAATAACTTTGTTCAGTGACAAATGGTTCCTAAACTTGTTGTGATCACTTTGTAAGGTCTATAAAAGTCGAATCAGTATATTGTATACCTGAAACTAATATAATGTGTGCAAATTATTAAAAATAAATATTTACAAAATGAAAGCATCTGTATGTATAATGGTTTTCCATTTATTTGGCTTTAAAGTTTTTTTAAAAGATCGTATTTATTTTTTAGAGAGGGGAAGGGAGGGAGAAAGAGGGTGAGAGAAACAGTGTGTGGTTACCTATCACCTGCCCCCTACCAGGGACGTGGCTCTCACCCCAGGCATGTACCCTAGATTGGGAATCAAATCAGTGACCCTTTGGTTTCCATGCTGGCCCTCAGTCAACTGAGGCACACCAGCTAGGGCTGGCTTTAAATTTTTTTAATTTTTATTTATTTTGGAGAGAGAGAAAACTGATTTGTTGTTCCACTTATTTATGCGTTCATTAATTGATTCTTGTGTGTGCCCTATCAGGATTGAACCTGCAACCTTGGTGTATCAAGGTAATGCTCTAACCAACTGAGCTACCTGGCCAGGGCTAATTTTTTTTTTTAAGATCTCAATGGCACATTTTCTAGAGGCTTTATTACAAGATTCATCAAATTCAGTTAGTTAAGATGTCTTGGAGGAGGCTAACTCAAGTAGAGCTTTCAACTGAATTATTTCTGTCAGTTTAAAATATATGCTTGGTCCATTTTTGAGTTGTGGAAAAAGAGAACTGGTATTTAATTACTTCCATATGTCATCAGTAAAGAGTGGATATAAATTGCTTTCCTATATGCTCAGTTTTTTAAAAAGTTCAGTTATGCCCTAGTTGGTGTGGTTTAGTGGATTGAGTGATGGCCTCCAGTTCGGTTCTTGATCGGGGCACATGCCTGGGTTGTGGGCCAGTACCGTGTGTGTGAGAGGGAACGGGTGGATGTTTTTCTCACACATCGATGTTTCTCTCTGTCTCTCCGTCCCTTGCCCTCTCCCTAAGAATAAATAAATAAAATCTAAAAAAATTTAAGAAAGTGCAGTTAATACTGGCATTTTCTTGGGCTGTTTCGACAATACTTTTGGTAACTAAAAGGCTTATGAGTGTTTTCAATTCAGAGTCTAATGTGCTAGTGTAGTTTGTGTGCAACTGTTGATTCTTAGCAGTCTAGAGGTAGACCTCAGAAAAGTTTAAAAGTGTTTCTCCTTGATAATTTAACAGTTTCCCATACAGCATATAGGCTTGCCTCTGTTGTTGGTTCAAGACTTTAATGCCACCTTCTATTCCTGAACTTGTGTCTATGATAACATGAAGTATTTCAAAGACAAGCTGATGGTGAAACTATCTGGTGTTTAGATAGAAAGTTCCTTAGCTTTATTGAAATAGTTGGTATACACTATTGTATTTGTTGAACATCCATTAATTCCAGGTACTGGGCAAGCAGCAATGACTTAAGATGATTACAGTATGTTTCCATAGAGGTTGACAGTATTGTTACCTCTCTGGCAATATCCCAAATGATTTGTTGACTTTCATAAATCTTTTCTACTTACTCATAAATCAGTGTATCAATTAACATATTGCTTGGCAGATAAAGGAAAATTTGCTTAGAGTGGTTAGATTCTTATCATTGATGTTGCAGTGTAATTCTGAAGGGTGAAAAGTAGTATTAGTCATTCACACTTAATGCCACTTTGTGACAGACTACAAAATAATCCCCAGTTAGGTAATGTCCTTTTTATACATATGTATTTATACCTTATACACAATCTATTTACAGAAAGGATAGCTAATCTATTTGAGTAGGCTAGTTCACAAA